ACATTAAAAATACAGTGCCCAACTAAAATCTGTGTCTTTGGATTTCTTGAAGCACATTGCAAGATAACTTGGAACGCTTGCTCTTTAAACTATCTGCTAAACTACTGGAGACAGAACAAGTCCATGACTGAAATACATGAATGAAGCAAACTTCAAGTTCCATCTCCCTTCACCTCGTGTCACAGCTCCGAGTTCCTGCGTTTGTAAGGATTTAATTTAGGACAGTTCCATGTAGGATTAACTTACTGATTTACTTCCAGATCAGGTTTTAACCCCAATTACCCCTCATTTACTCGGGCTGCAAAAGGAGAACTATCTTTGCTTGGCATCACATCTTTGTTTCTTTGTTAACTGCTATTAATTAACCCCAAATTCTGTGCAGATCATATCTTGACATTGGGAATAAAGTTAGACAGATAAATTTAATGGACAATTCATTACAATACCTTTTGCCGTATCAATTTAAAAAGAGGGGGAAACTCTTCTTTCACCATTTTTTCATCCTTCCTGCTGCTCTAAATAGATGACCAGGGATGAGACATGCAGGAGTCCTCACAAATCAAAGTAATTAGAGAAGCCTTTGCTCCTTGCACTCCTGCCAACTATTCCATTTCGACCAGAACTTATGCAGACTTTTAAACCCATTTCCACCTGTTCACACTCCAGACTCTTTACAGGAGGAATGGAAGGATAAGAGGCTTGTGATTTGAGAGAAAAATCTTGCTAGAAGGGCCTCCAGGTCTCATGGTGCAAGACAGCACCCTTCTGTCATAGGTGAGAAAGGGGAAATGATTGTCCAGGCAGGCAAACTCCCCACTTGGGCTGAAGCCACAGCATTGGCCATGTAGTGCTCCAGAGAAAGTGTAGGTTAAGTGTAAAACATGAAGTAAAGGAGAAACAAAAGATGATTCTGACAGCAGAGGGAGAACAAGTTACTTTTTTTACTGAAAGAAGAGCTTCCTGCTGATGAAAGAGAAAACCCCACTCCAGAGGTGTCAGGAGGTGAGCTGTTCTGGGCAGAGAAAGACAATAGGATAGATTTTCATCTTCTTCTTCCCAAGAAATGGGAGACAGCCAGCTGTAAAGGACTTTGTACAGGGTAAGCCAAGCTTCCAGGTATTCCCTGAAACCCCAGGAGTTTTTGAACCCAGGAGTCACTGGGAAACTGCATGATCTCAATGGATAAGGATTGGGCAGACCCAGAAGTGCCCTGGGAAGAATCTTCAAATGAACAGCCTGTTGGGCAGTGATGCTGTTGAAGCTGCTGTCACATTTGTGTTGACTGCTTCATCCAAACCCAGCAGGTACTTGTCTTTGTGCCTCAGGGTCCTGGAGGAGGTTTGTTTCACTGTGTGCTGGGATTCTTGAGTCCTGGGCTGTGTCCCTAACTCAGATTCACTGTGTTTCTTAGGGAAATTTATTTACACTCCATGCATACATTATTTGTACAGTAAGAATGTTTCTGTCTTACTTCACAAGGAGAATGGGAAGGATTAATTAACAATTCTGAGGCACTACAGAAGTGCTAAACATTATTAATGGCTCCCAAGTTTTCTTCTTTTGGAAACAGTGGCCATTTCTTCCCATAATGTTTTAAACAGTTGCTGCTCAAGGAGCTTAGATTGCAGATTCCTGGCCTGTGGTTTGCTCATAAATCACAGGCCTGGAGCCTACCCAAGACACTCTTGATAGTCTCAGCAGAAGTCTGGATGAGAGAAAACACTGTTCTCAGTCTGGCCCAGTGAACTACTTTATGGGCCAGTCCAGTTTCAAGGTCCTGAGCCAGACATTGAGAGGGATTCTGTCCAAGTTTAAAAGCATGAGGTCTCAGGAATGTCCTCTCAAACTGGATTTCACTGCCTATAAATATTTTCCATCTTCTGCCCTGGAGGATATAGATTTGACTCCACAACTGATGAGCCTGGGCAGAGCAGGAGAAAAGGCCACTCTGTTCATCACCAGTGGTTTGTCAGCATACAAAGTTTAACTTGTAGAAAAATGAACAAAACCCCCCAATCAAAACCCAACAAGGACAAGAGACAGGCAGCAGTTAATAGGGTGCTAGTAAAAATCAAACCTGACAGATCAATTTTCTGCACAAAGCAGGGTTCAGCATTGCTTACAGACAGGAAACTAAATAAGCTCCATGAGAGCCTTCCAGGTTGGACATCCCTAATTCCATCTCATGGGGAAATGGGGAAATCTGCTAGAACAAATGTGGAAGGACACAACTAGCCCATGCTGGGCATATCAGGGCACCATGCCCACATGTTGTGCACTGTTGGAACTCATGGTTCAGCTCAATCTGCTGGAAAAATCCACTCCTGCTGCAGGAAGAGCACAAGCTGGATGGAAACTGCCTAATGAGAAAATGCACTCAACAATGGGTAACCTAGTACCTTAGCGGAGATGGCAGCTGGAAGAGCTGGAAACTGCAGCTTCACTGCTACAGACAGCACTGAAGTTCTGATGCAGGATCCGAACAAGCCTTCTCTGCTTGCACAGTTTTGAGGTGGTGCAGAAAGTGAAACTCCAGGCTCTAGCTAGCTTCTCGTGGCTCCCTTTTCCCATCACATTTGAAACAACTCATCCTTTATGCTCTGGTTTACTAAAAGCCTCTGTGGTGTTCCATGTGGAGTCCCTTTCAGACACAAGCGACACACCCATGTTCCTATCAGCACTTAAGTCTGTGTTCCTCTGCATGATGCCATACATCCCCTTTTTCCACTAGGTTCTGCTCTGTTAGCCACACATAAACCCTTCATACAGGAGCATGCTGCATGTCTTTGCAAAATACAAGGGAAAATGGAGTGTGAGAGGCCTGGACCCAGAGTGGCTGCTGATGTGTGCAGTGATGAAGCTTAGACAAAGCATCGGACAAGGTGTCATGATAAAGTATGTGAGACTGGGGTCAAAGCACCCTCCTGATCCTGCTGCTCCTTGCTGCAGAGGGGCTCTCAGGACTATCACCACCTCTCGTGTGTTTGATGGGTACAGTGACAAAGGGTAGGTCTGTGCTTCAGTAACAGAAATCTTACCTGATCTTTTAGTCACAAATCTCTTATGGCAAAATATTAGCACCTCGGGACTACTGGGTTTCCCAGAGGATTCCCAGGATGGGAGAGGTTAAAGATACGTCAGTTCACAGCAGTCTCACAGTCAGCTCCGCTTCTCACTAGTGCCCAGCTGCAGGCATTCCCTCAACAGACACTATTTTCAGGCACTGTGAGCGAGCACCAGGTGACCAGCCTGCAGGCTGATGCACTCACCTGCTGCACTGTTAGCATCAGAAAATCACCAAGGGTTTTGATTTCTTCAGGCTCTGTTAGAATCACAGAATCATTTAAGTTGGAAAAGATCTTGAAGATCGAGTCCAACCATTAACCCAGCACTGCCAAGCCCACCACTAAACGATGTGCCTAAGCACAAGACCTACATGTCTTTTAAATACCTCCAGGGATGGGGATTCCACTGCTGCCCTGGGCAGCCTGTTCCATTGCCTGATCATCCTTTCAGGTAAGAAATTTTTCCTAATATCCAGTCTAAACCTCCCCTTGAGGTTTAGACTGGATATTAGGAGGCTGTTTCCCCTTATCTAAGGGAAAGAGACCAGCCCCCACCTCACTACAACGTCCTGTCAGGTAGCTGTAAGACAGCATAAGGTCTCCCCTGAGCCTCCTTTTCTCCAGGCTCAACACTCCCAGTTCCCTCAGCCAGTCCTCATCAGACTTCTGCTCCAGACCCTTCACCAGCTTCATTCCCTTTGGACCTGGCTCCAGCACCTCCATGTGTTCCTTGTAGTGAAGGACCCAGAACTGAACACAATATTCGAGGTGCAGCCTCACCAGTGCCACGTACAGGGGGCAGTCACTTCCCTGGTCCTGCTGGCCACACTATTTCTGCAACAATGCATCATAAGGGGTGTAGGACGTAAAAGGTGGCTCCTTCTCAACACCCTCCAAATCGTCATATTAGTTCCTCTTCTGCATCTGAAGGAAAATGAAATTTTACGTTAAAATGGCAGCCTGTGCAGCAGGCCCTTTCATTCCTCTGCACAGCCAGGCTTCCTTTAGTGTAAAGGGCTAGAGGTTGTCCTGTCCAGCAGAGCATCCGAACAGTTAACCAAATCCAGTTCAGGAATCTTAATCCGGCAATTTAAAGATAAGCTAAACAAATATCAGGGCTACCTCACAGCCCCCACTGAGCAGGAATTCTTGTAAACCAGTTTGCATGGTGTAAACCAGATACATGGAGGGAAACCCAGTGTAGCATTTTTCTGTTACACATTTCTTTTGTTGAAGAGGCACTGCTCCTTAGAAAGGACTCAAAGAGCCAAACTCCATCTTTAAAGACAAGGCTAACAGGGTTCAATAGCTACAGATTCTCCTGTTCTCCCACCACACTCTCTGCCACTACCTACTGTTGTTTTCACAGCCCTCTCTCCCACCACTGACCAGTGCCTGGTGCCCTCAAGAATCGAGCAGCATCTGAAGAGAGAAGAACCAATGAATCACCAGCTGGAAGACACAAAGACCAACAAAGTAAGGGGAAGAGAGGAGTAGAGGCATCTGGAAAAGGAGTTTATTTGTCATAAATACAGATCATCTGGACATGCAGTTTATCCACAGAACAGGCAAAAACCCTGGAGACTCTCCAGAAAGCCACACGTTGGAAAGCTGTTTCCCAATTACTTCCCCTTCTCCACAGCAAGACCAGGATGAACTCAACCATCCAGCAGCTCAGTGATCTTTATACTGACATGCTCCACCAACAGTCTCTGTGCCTGCTAATGGCAGCAATCCATCTCCATGGTTACAAAGTCTTCCTGCCTGGTCTGGTCAGAGGTGGAGGTTTAACAAATTACTTAACTGCACAGGGATGCAGCAGATTGGGGGGGTTGCATTCACAGACTTAACTGGGACTCTTGCTGCCAATATCTGTTTTGGTTAAAGGTCATTTCTAGAAACTACAGTATGTATTGAGGCTCTTCAGGCTTGTGTCAGAAATGTGGGTATACTGTTTTAGCAGTAGCCTCTGGATTTTGTTCCCAAGACCATCACTCTTTGCACAGGTTGATGACATATGCTCTAATAATTACAACTGGCTCCTCCCTGTGCAGGGAGGGTTGGAAGTCCCCTCCATTCTCCCCAGCCCTCTGCCCCATGAACCCATTACTGCACAGGGCCTGCAAGCAGATGCTGCGATAGTTGACAGTGACTGCACTTGAAGGAAGAGAGATCAGCATAGAGTTCATCCTTCAGTCTTCTGTGGCTCAGTTCTTGTCCAGGATTCTGGTGAGGAGTTCATTCAGCTTGTTCACCATTGGTCTGGGATCGTCATTCAGCCCTGCTGCTATCATGGCATTTTCATAAATCTGAAAAAGAGAAAAAAACATTAAATAAGGAGCAAGAGCAAGCTGCATGAGAGCTGGGGAGGGAGTGAGTGTCACTCTCCAGGATTGGCATGCCCAAACCAAGTACATCTTCTAGGCCATCAGGTAGGAAAACACATGGACCACAAATACCAGTAATACCCAGAGTGGGGTACCATGGGAAGATGTGATTCTGGTCCACTACAAGGGCTTCACCACACATGGTCTGCAAGGTGGCTCTGGGGAGAATGGTGCTGCTTCTGGAGAATGCCTGGCTCTCACCTGATCAAGCAACAGCTGGGCTAGATCAGGCTGACTGTCCTTCAGCTCGTTAAGCTTCTTAATCAGAGCGTGCCTGGAAGAGAGAGAGCAACACTGAAGCTTGGTATTTTCGGGCACAATGAGAAATCTATTTCCAGAATGAGCAGCTAAGACAAGGTGGGACAAAAAAAGGTTCTACCTAAAGGCTAAAATAGCTCCAATGATTCCTTGCTCCTGCTCTTAAGGCTTCTTTCTTCTCTCCTACCCTGTTCTCAAATCCTCATGGACCCCAGCGGGCTGGACATAGCCTGTGTGGGTGGCTTATGTCATATGTGCCATGCAGGCTCATGTATTAAAGCCCTGTTAGCACATGCTGCACTTAAGGAGAGCTCTGCTAACTGGGAGCCTTACATTGCCACCTCTCTGCCTTCATCCCAGGCAGCCAGCTGTGTCCCATGCCTAGCACCAGTACTGTTCCCCTTACCTGGTGTTGATCTCCAGAGTGGGCTGCAGGAGCTGGGCACGCTCCTCTTGGGTCTTGGCCAGCTGTTGCATACGCAGAAAGTGGCGGGCAGCCCCCATCTCGAGCACAGTGATCATGGCAGGGTGGGTGTCTAGCCGTGTAGTTACCTGCGGCAAAACCAGCCACGGAAAGTGCATGTGGGGGAGGTTCAGGGACTCGCAGTCCCCCCAGCACAGATCCACACCAAGCCTCCACGTGATTCATCCCCACCCCACAGGAGCTGCTTAAACCAGCAGGAAAGCTGGAGGCCCAAATGGCCCCACTGGTCCACAGGCAGTAGCTCATAGCTGGACCCAAAGCACTCCTTACCAATAGGACTTTCCAGTCCTCAGGCAAGAAAGTCACAGACCTGTTCTGGTAACCTGAGCCTTAAGCAGTAAAATGGGCTTTGTTCATTACAGCAAGATGTGGTCCTTCCACTGCCACACTGACCATTCAAATGACAAATGCCACCACCTATATCATTTACATATATCACTATATATGAGATACAGAGATGAAGCACATAAATAATTTATCTCAGGAAAAATCTATGGCAGCAGATCCCCAGTCAACCACCATCTTTTTCCCCCTAGATCCCCATAGACCTCCATGGATCTCCTGTACTCAGCCACACAGAATACCTACCTTAACGCCAGTGACTCGAGAGCCTAAGGCATTTCTCATCCAGGCCATGAGATCCTCAGCCTCTTTCTCTGTCAGACGTTCTGCAGCTGGCAGGAGAAAGAGGGCATATCTGAGCATGCGCCTACAGTGTGCCAATGGACAGTGAGTTTTATCCCCAAGATCAGTCCATTTCATACTTCTATTTACTTTTCTCTTGTGGAAATGGGAAGGCAGCACCACTTGGCACACACCTATGTATGTGCCCTCATCCCAGACCTTGCCATACCCAGAGAGGGCAGGCTCATGCCCTCCCAGTGCCTGCCTGTCTCTGCCAGGGCACCAGATGTGTGCGTGTTGTTAAACTTGAACCATGGAAACTCCACCTACAACACTCCATCTGTTTAAATTACCAAATTGCTTAAATTTTGTTCATATGGGATGAAATGGATTTGTAAGAACTTCAGGTTGACTCAGAGCATGAGAATGGCAGGATGAAAGGAATGCTCTTGCTTGCATGCTCAAGAACTGCACGAGGACTGGAGGAGGTGTACCCTCACTGGCTGGCACAGGGCTGCAGGACTGTTTGCAGCAGGGGAGCATCACGATACCTGAGCTGCTCTCCTCAAACTTCTCTTCCTTATAGTGATCAACCACAATATCTGTCTCCACCGAAATCAGCTTCTTCTTGTCAAACTCTCGAAGGTGCAAGAGTGTCAGCTCATCAAATTGCTCATAGCAGAACAGGACCTGTGCCAAAAAAGGGACAACACATTGCTTGGGACAATAACACCATTTTCTCCTTCCTAAGGCAATTCCACACCAAACAGTGAGAACATCACAAGGAAACTAGCAGGTTCAACCCCATGGTGACTATCACTCAGGGCTCTGAATGAAAGCAAACCCTTGGAGGGCTTTGTTACCAAGGGTGGCAGGTCTGCAGCTAAATGAGTCTTGCTGCCCCATGGTGAGAACCAGCACTGCCTCTGATCCTGAAAGGGCCACTTGCCTGCAGAGGACACTTGTAATACCACTACCAGCCCTGCACAGCAGCTCGGGGGCTCCTGCTCTGTGGTTCAGTGAAGGTTTAGACAGATGCACTGACACCCTGCACAGTGCGTGACAGCTCTTTCCTGGCCTCAGGCTGCAGGATCCAGTCTGAGTGGGAACACGGGAAAAGACACTGCAGTAGCGGGGTCTGTCAGAGGCCTCAGTGGCCTGCTCAGCCCTGAGGCCCAGGTGAGCCATGACCACAGATGCAGTGACTCAGGGTGTTCCCCTGGCACACTGCTTACCCACCTCCATGTCCTTTTTCTTCATGGCCTCAAAGTACGGGGAGTGCTCAGCCAGGTGCCGGTTGGGCGCACACAGGTAGTAGATGTTCCTGCTCCCTGCCTTCATGCGGGAGGCATAGTCAGTCAGGCTGGTGAGCTGGCCTGTGGGCAGGGACGATGACTCAAAACGTAGCAACTTTGCTATGTCCTCCTGGAAGAAACATGCACCTGTGAGCTGGGGGCAGGCAACTATAGCTCTACCTGACCACTCCCAGGCCCAAGAATTCCCTTTGTAGCACGCAGGCCTGTTTGCAGCCCTGTAAAAAGGCTCAGGGGACTCCAAGTCCCTCCTTTCCTGCTCCAGATATTGAGGGAGAAAAGCGACCTAGACAGGATGTAGGTCAAGCTCTCCTGGAAATGGGAATCCAGGCAGAGGACAGTAGTAGTGGAAAGCCCTCCTTCATTGCCTGCTGTAGTTCATATTGCATCAGGGAGAGCTGACAACACAGTATGGGTACAGAGACTCCACAGAGTCTCAAATTAAGTGGGAAGCAGCACCTTGTCAGAAAGAGCGAGAGTTTGGGCACTAGAGAATCTGTAAGTCTTGTTACACCCAGGAACACAAGCTACGGGTGTGTAAGATTCACAGAAAAGTAGCATTCCCTTCATCCCAGGTCATGGTAGGAGCCAGTAATCTTTCCCATCAGATGCAGTGTTTCAGGACTCCTGGTACCTTGACATCCTGCTCTGCTATTGTGACAATCCCCTCTCTCATGAATACTCCGTAGTCCTCAAAGAATTTGGCATATTTTTCAGGGTCCTTCTTGCTCTGGTCAATGAAGAACTTGATCAACCTCTTCTGCAAAACATCTCGGAGCTTCCTGCAGCAGAAATAATTCTTTCTAAAGATAGCTGCTAGACCAAGAGGTTTTAGGTGAACATCTCTCCTTGTGCAGTGTTTGAGAGATGCATTTGCAAATTTGATGATAAAGAAGAAACTGTGGGTCCACTGTCTCTTCTCCCTCATGGCTCTACATCTGTTTGTTGTATCTCAGTCAAGAGCCGCTCCTGGGCTGGAGAGATAGCTAGAGCTATGCTACAAAAGTATTGCTGAAGCTCAAATCTTCACTAACTCGTGACTCAGTGATGCTGCTGTACATAACCAACCACGCACAGGGCATCTGCCTCACTCCCACAGCTACCCTTACACATGGGAAGGAAGCAGCTATAAAAGGATTATGCTTGGAGGAATGCTTTCTGAAGGCCTGAAAATCCACTGTGAAGTGACTGGGTTTATTTGCCAACTACAGTGAAAACTGAGGCATTTCCCTAGCCATAGAATGCAAAGTTAGCCATCAAACTTAACAAGGTAACACCACCACTGTTAAGGAGCAAAAACCTGCTTGTATATTTCCTTCAAATTCCAATAATGGCAGATGTTTGAGAGGGGACCTGAAGGACAAAAAGTAAGGAAAAACTTACTTCAGATCTAAGGGGTTTTTAGAGGACACTGATCTGTGTGCAGTCAGCTTGGCTGGGCCTTGACACCAAATGAAAACTCTGCTGGCTGGCACTCACTTTTAAACAAATGGGTGTGTGAGTGCAGCAGAGCTTTGAAAGAAGTCTGGAAACAAGAGGCACAAGGTGCTGTTTGAAGATCTACCTGTAAATAATGGTGACACTGAAGTACAGCCTAGCTTCCTAGTTTTGTTTTCCAAACCACTTGGTGGTGCAGACGGGACACTTTAAATAGCAAATCCACTGACCAGAGATACTGAAAGGCAGCCTAGGGCATTAAGGGCACATGCCCAAGCAGATGGCAGCGGATTGTATGACACAGGACACTGCTCCCAAACCTCGAGATGTGACAACACGGCTGAGAAACAACTCACTTCACAGACTACAGAAATTCTCAAGATTGGAAATACTGCAGTTCACATGCTGGGTCTTTCCAAGTGCCTCTAACTATCCCACAATATCACCTCCTCAACCAGCAAGAAGCTAGAAGAGCCTCAGCAATCCACAAGATCTCTTACTTACCTGATCAGTGCACTCTCCTGCAGCAGCTCCCTGCTGAGATTCAGGGGTATATCCTCACTGTCCACAACACCTGGAACAGATAGCAACCCATGAACAGTGAGGTAAGCAGGAATGCCAGGTGGAGGAAGGCAAGGCAGCCCCTTGCCTCACCCCCTGTGGAAGCTATAGTCCACAGCCCATTATGCCTGGTCCCAGCACACACCTCTAAGAAAACGCAGCCATTTAGGCAGGATGTCTGCAGCTTTGGTTTGGATGAGAATTTTGCGGCTGTAGAGGGCAACACTGGAGCCCAGTTCCCTGCTGATATCAAACATGGATGGTTTCTGCAGCAACAAGAGACAAAAGGGTAACACCAGTACTGTGCAGGGTGCCCAGCTGTACACTACCCTGCAGTATCTCTGCAGCTGCACCAGTTGACCAGGTCATACAGTGATCTTCCCTACCAGTGCTGAATCCAATGAGAGCCAAAATCTTGGCTGTCTTCCCTAGGGAGCTACCTGAGCCATCTCCCTGCTCCTGTCATGGCTCAGTATCCCCACAACCATCCTGTGGCACTCAGTCCACTGCATAGATGCCACACTGGATATTTCTCCTTGTCATTCTGCAGCTTTATCTGCCTCCTTTCCGTGCAGAGCTCTCCTATTCTCTCCTCTTCAGAGGAACGGGGCAGATGTCCCCCTGTTCCCTGGACAGAAGGGCACATACTTGCTCAGGCACGTAGAAGATGCTGCGGATGTTGAGGGGAGCATCAGTCTTGTAGTGCAGGATGTAGCGAGGCTTGTCGTAAGCCTGTGCTATGAAGCGGTAGAACTCCTCATGCTGCCACTCACCGATGTCCTTGGGGTCCAGCATCCAGAGTGCCTGTGGAGGAGCAGGGACATGAATTCCCATCAGCTCTCAAGACCCGTGGCCTCACAGTGCAAGGCTCTTTCAGAGTTAATACTTTCCCTCCAGGATGCTGGAGCAAGAAAGTATGATCTTTCAAAAAGACTCCTCTGCACAGCCCAAGGGCAGTGAGATGTACTGTGATTCAGGCACATTATCACAGACTAACAAATTACTGCTCCCCAGCTGATCTCAGGTCACTTCCCGTAGAGGTGGCCCTGCAACATACATCAGGCAGCTTTGTTTAAACCAAACAAAAGGGATTTGGCTAATTCCCGGTGCTTCACACTTGCTACTGGCTAAGAGCATCCTGGACAGCTACCACAGCTCAGCTGACTGGCAGCACTGGTCAAGCATCCCAAGGCCTGACCAGCAAACAAAAGAAAAGTGAAAGTTTAAGTGGGTCTGTTTCAACCAGCCAGCCTCCCTGATGGAGGTCACTAGCACTGACATGGTTTAGTGGTGGACTTAGCAGACCTGGGGTAATGGTTGGACTTGATGATCTTAAAGGCCTTTTCTAACCCAGTTGATTCTATGGTGCTATCATCCCACCACAAGGTCAGCCAAATGCTTGTGAAGCAACTCCCAGATTGCCTGTTTTCCACAGATTTGTTTTGGAGCAGTTCAGGTGATGCTTTATAAACCACTCAGCCACCCCTGCTGCAGGGCCAGAGTGCTCCAGCAGTACAGTTTCACATGCCAACATGTGAACTGAAGTCATAGCTCCAGATCAGGTGCTTTTCAGTGGCCATGCTTTCCACTCGCTGCTGCTCTAAACCCTCCAAGGCTTTCTGTAGTGTTCAGCCCATGCTCACATCACATGGAAGTTTTCAGTACCTCCGCAGAAGACCAGCATCTAGCAAAGACACGGGAGGTTCTGCACATTTAACAGGCAATGGATATCAACTAAGAAGCTTATGTCCCCAGCCAGGTGAGGCCCACTACAGTCACTGTCACTCACTGCTACTGAAGCCCTAATGACAGAGTGATTACTGAGGGCAATGCAAACATCCAGCCCACCCTCCACCTAGCGGAATCCAAGGGATTCAGGGCCCTGGTAGCCCTACCATGCTGCCATGCTCCTTAAATCTTCTTCTACCTCAAAGCCTTGTTGCATGAGTGGCTTCGTCACATTTCCAGCTCACACAAGTGTCCTGGAGGGTTTGCAGGATCACAGGTAGGATTATGGACTCAACTGGGTACTAAGGTGCTTTGCAGCAGCTGTTGTTAGGTAAACTGCTGCTTCCTCAGAGGCTTACTTGTAGCTACAGTTACCACAGTTAGAACAGAAAAGCCTGTAACTCCACGTAGTCCACTACATGGCAAGCATTCAAGAGCTTATCTAGCAAAATCCACAGCAAGGAACTAACTAGGGCTCTGTTTACAGTGAACTGATGGTGATGTCTGGAAAAACACAAGAACAAGATCTGGGATAAAGCAAAGGCCTGAAACAGGAGCATAATGAGAACAAAGCTGTTGCCGTAGCCCAAGGGAAAAGAAACTTTCTGATAAGAAGATAAAAGTACATGACTCTATTAAGTACCCCTTGCTCTAGTACTACTCTTCTCTAGGGAGCCTGTTCTATTGATTGCAAGGTAGAAAGTGCAAACAGCTGTCTAAGTCTATTTCTAGTTTTGTAATTTGAGGGAAACAGGTAGAAAGTCTCTGGAACAGAAACACTATTACACAAGAATCCAAATAAATATCAGTGACTGATAACAGCAATTACAGAACCTTAGATAAATGATAATGAATTTAAGTGCAGGCTTGAATGTTTGTGCATTCAGTGCCACATTCCAGGAACCAAAAACCCCACACACATGCTCTCTGCCTGCTCTCTTACTTAGGTAAGGAAGCTTTAAACAACCAGAAAAGGAGAAGCTGGACGAAAATGATTCACAGTTTTTTGTTTTAAAGATAGTTAATTTCACCCGACTCCTGCAACTGGGCCAAGAACTTACTGGCTAAAATAGAGCTGGCTGCAATATAATTGCAAGTGGGCAGAAAATGCATCAAGCAGTGCTCACCTAGGAGCTGTGAAGAAGATCAGGCTGTGACCTGAGCCACTAAGAAAGCACTGGCTCACTGGCACTGGCTGTCCCATGCTGAAGGACAAAGAACTGAGCACACCAGGGATACGAGCAATCCCCACACCACTAACATGTCACCTGGCTGGAACAGTTAGAATAAGTATTATAAAGCACCGAAATAATACTTCTGATTAAGGGAAGATCCAGAAGATAACTATAAATAAAAACTGCTTTGCTAATCTACAGGAATTCTCTCCAACAAATGCAAATAAGCAATTCCAGGCATGTCTTCTGCTGGATTTTTCGTAAGAGCAAGTAGAGATAGGCTAAGGGGGAACGGCTTTAAACTGAGGGTGGTGAGGCACTGGCACAGGTTGTCTGGAGAAGCCGTGGCTGCCCCATCCCTGGCAGTGTTCAAGACTAGGTTGGACAGGGCTTGGAGCAACCTGGTCTAGTGGAAGGTATCCCTGCCTGTGGCAGGGGGTTGGAAATGGATGATCTTTAACATCTTTAACCATTCTATGATTGTAAGATTGCCTCCTTTTGTTCTAACTCACTCATCACTGCAGGGTCTGTGATATCCTGGACAATCCTTTCGATCTCCAGGGACAGCAGCTCCATGCTGTTTTGTGTCTCCTGTGGGGCATTACAGTGGTTCACCTCCACAAGTGACCTCAAGAGCCCTCCTGCTCACCTGCAGTGTGTTAATTCTTCTCCCATTGAGGTACAGTGGGAAGCTGATGAAGTTGCTGTATTTTGTCACCACCTCTGGAACAGAAAGAAGACACAGAAGAGCTGCATATACAAAAACCACAGAGTTAAGAATTTCCTCAGTAAGAGCAGATGAAAGGTGTTGCAGGAGAGGAGAAATGCTGTAAATGCACCTCCCACTCATGGAGTACCAACAGCCTTCACACAGTCCCTCAGCAGGTAACAGCATAACAGCATTTGCCTCCTCTACTCACCCTTGACTCGGTCTTCATTTGCAAACTCCTTGCAGTCTTCTTTGAGATGAATAATAATCTTAGTCCCAGTTCTGACACCAGATGCTTCTGCAATCTCAAACATTCCTGAACTAGGATTAGAAACAGACTCTGTGTCATTTTATGCCTCAGATACACCCATGATAGGACATAAAAATGTTTTATTAAATTAAGAGCACGCACAATACTTCAGTGCCAAGTGGAAAAGACAGAAAGTTGGGAATGCCTGAATGTCCTCTGTGACCCTGAGAAGCCCCCTGGAATATGTGGCTGCCTTTCCTACAGAGACTCCACACCCAGCACACTGGGTGTTTCTCTGTAAAGACACCAGCAGCCTCTGTTGAAAATGAAACAAAGTTCAGGTTGTTTCAGCCTAGCCTTCAGCTCCTCTGCTACATTTCCTACAATGACTGCAACACCTAGGCTCCTGCCTTCCCACCTATCAGCTCTGACTTTTTTGTGGGCCCTTGTTAGTATCTCCACTGGAGGGTGCAGTGACTGCTTACAATGAAAAGCAGCTGTACTCTGCTGAAGACAGCCCCTTCTGGATGACCCCTCATACCCTACTGCTAAGTGAATGCCATATGGGGATCAAAGACTGGTGAGCACACTGACCCAGGGCAGAGCCAGAAGCAGCAATGACAAACAATCAAGCCTTCAAAGTGTACAGCAGTACAGATTGCAGTGTACGGCAGCCTGACTACAGCCAAGACAGTCTGATGTCTCAGTTACAAGATGCTTTTTCAAGAATTTAAATAACAGTAAATTCTTTATTCCTAGGAGATTTTAAGAGGATGTAAAGCTTGTAAACCCCAGCAGCTTTAATTTCAAAGTGATCCAGCAGTCCACAGCTTTGCCATCACTGATGTTTGCAACTTCAAGCAAAAAGCAAAAGATGAGCACACAGATCTGACCCATAGAAGACATGCCTACATAGCCACAGCATGGCACAAACCCTGCCTACCATGGGTGCCCTCGAGCAAAAACCCAGGGGATGACTAGGACGAAGAGGTTAAATATGTCTCTCCAGTCTGGGGCACTGCTGAGATGACTGCCTGCCAGCAGGGAAGGAACAGGAGAGAGAGGCAGGTACTATCTTTGTCCACAACATGCCTGCTCCAACAAAGCAAGTTTGTCCTTGTGGTTTTCACCCTGGCACATCTGGCCACACTTTGTTGTGATGTTTAAACTGTGCAGGATATAAACCAGTAAGCGTGGTCATGAAAGACAACACAAGCCCCATCTTGATTTGCACAGTTTTCAGTCTGTGCCTGGCCTGGACTCAGCGCTGCCATGCTTCCATCCCATTCTGCAGCCTTACCCGTCTGATGACCAGTGGTAGCCTGGGCTCCCTGGCTCTGCAGACTGTGAGAACACCTCCACTTTATCCGCCACCATGAAGGCTGAGTAGAAACCCACTCCAAACTGGCCAATGATTTTACTGCTGGCTTCAGCTTGGCTCTGCAAAGCATCTAGAAAAGCCTAGAAGAACAAAGACATAAATCACCAGTGATGTCAGGTACCACCAGGAGGCTGCAATCCACCCTCTGGCTGGGCTCCTCATGCCCTGATGCAGCCCCATGTCAGGTACCCAGCCCAGCAGCCCAGCCTCGTCCCACAGTTCCACATTCAGTGCTCTGAGGGCAGTGCCCAAGGAAAAGGGTTTTCCCACAGGGGACTGCAGCTCTGGAAAACAGGAGCATTGCTTAGGGCACTGCCACTAGCAGTAAAGGAAAACAAGCAATGGCTCAGTCAATCAGAAGCATGAAACCTTAAAACAGTGACTCCAGCGATGAAAAACAAAATGAGGTATACCTACGGGGGGCACAGCTGTTTCCCCCCTGGACAGTGGGTGAATGGTGAATGCTAAGGGAACATGTGCCCCTCCATAATGATGGCCTAGGGAGGAAGGTGTTTGGGAACGAGGACAGCCAGGTGCAGCAGCGTTACACACAGGGCCCATTAGTGCTGCTTGAGCACCACAGCACACACCATTAAGAGCTAGAAGACTCCAGAGGTAGGTTTTACCTTCCAAGAGGGGTGTAATTTCACAGCTGGGTCAGGGGCCAAGGGACAAAACGGAATGAGAAATTACTGGGAGAACAAAAGTGGCTGTAATTGGAAAAGACTTTTCTAAGGCGGGGGAAAGGGATGCCTCATCCCAAGTTACCTTTGAGCCTGATCGAGCAATGGTACCGAGATTAGAAACCAGCTCCTCCTGGGTCATCCCAATCCCTGTGTCCTGAAAACAAATGGCAATTATAGCAAGAATACCAGTAGAAAAACACTGCTTTAGCAAACAGCATCCAAACAACTTCTGACTCCCACCCTCTCCCAGCCAGCTGAGTAGAAAAGGCAAGAGCAGGCTTCCAGCTGACTCTACCTGTTGATGGTCAGGACAGTGGACTGAAAAGGAGCTTTTCAGAAAGCTCAGAGACTCAAGCCATTTCTCAAGAGAAGACAAACCCATGCCAAGACAGGCACAGGACAGTGGTGGGAACAGATCTCAACTCAGTCACAGCCTCCCTGTGCCAGGTGTCATGTATGTACAGAGTTTCCATTCCTGAACAGGTCCAAAGGGGAGGCTGCGAGAAACAGATGGGGACCCGATCCTCTTGTACCAGGAATCTGTGGCAGAGCGGCGAGTCCCTTAACTCTGAGATAATGCAGAACCGTGTCTATAAGCACCACATTCACTGATCTCCATCAACTCTGTCTTCCCCTCACATTAAGCTCCACAAGACTTGAGTATGAAGCTGTCAATGCCCAGGTCCCTGAGCACTGGGTATTGCAGTGCCCATGGGGACAGGCTAACACCAGCCACACCTCGCAGTGCTCTGTCCAGGTTTCAAAGGCACAGTTTGTTGTCATCACCACTTTAATCCAGATTGCATTGCTGTGTGCAGACAAACATCTCTCTGCTGCTAGCATGTGCCTCTCAGGCAGCAGACCCTGCAGCAGAACGTCCAGAAAAGGCTGCAACAAGCTTCAGACTGGGCTGCAGCTTCATCTGTTCCCACAACATATTTGCATGATCCCGAGACAACACAGTTAACAGCAAACCCCACCTAGAAATGACCACACCGGACCCCAACAAAAATCTTTCCCACTTTGTAGTCCAACCTATTTTCAGACTTTCTTGATACACATCTTGCACAGCAGCAAAGGGCAGGCTAACATTCCCCAGGATGCCACTTCTGAAACTCCCCTCCCCAAATCCCAGCAGCTTCTCCACCTGACAGAAACATCAGAGAAGCTACTCTTACAGGTTCTCTGAGCCACTCTGTGAGGCAGCAGCAGAGTGAACATGAGGCAAGTGAAAGGTGATTCTTATTCACATGAGAAGTTCAGCTCTACTCCAGTAGTGGTGAGCACAGTTACCACGGCTGACAGCAGCCTGCACACCCGGAATGGCCAACATGCTCCCAGTGTTGTTAATGCAGGGTGGGATTCAGTGTGCAGGAGTCAGCAAAATGAGCAAAAGCAGAGCTGGTTGCTGATAGATAGCTCGGAGGTGAGATGCCAGAGGGCATTCTGGCACAGCATGCCTCTACCACCCATGTGGGGCATTTGCTGGGCTTATTACTAGCAAAGTAAGTTAATGTCAATACGTGTTTTGTAATAGTGTTTGACTCCACTGAAGGATCAAACTGCTCAACTTGTGAGGTGCCATGTGGGTAAGACATTTTTCTGCAGCCCCCCAAGTCACAGTGCAGCAACACCTTTCCCTTGATTAAATACGGTAAGGCCAGTCAGTTGACTTGGCTGAGAAGAGGGACGATGCCTAGTAAGATCTCAACAGCAGGAAATGGAAAGCCAGGAAAAACAAACAGGCTATGGCAAAATCTCAGGAATCTGACATGGTCCCTTCCCCCAGAGAAGATGAAGCCAGAAAGAAAAGTTTTCAGCATCTGGTTCAGGTTTTGTTCATGCCAGACTCTGAAAAGAACTCTTAAATCCTCTGATCCACTCCTATTTATAGCACAGCATGTCATTCCAAATTCCAGTATGTTAAAAAAATATATATCCTACCCCATGAATTTACTTGGCTATTGAATTCCTAGCGCCCTGCCAAACTTATGCAAAATGTTTAATGGCAGCTCCTGCAGACTAGTTCGATGAGGGTGAATCGCAACAAAGAAGGAGAGCACGGCTCAAAGCACTCTGCTCCCCCAACAGCCCGAGCCGCTGCCGGGGAAGGCGGAAAGGCCTTTGAGGTGGCGAGCGGAGATCCTGGCCGGGCAGACACTTCCTATGCAGGAAAACACCTGGGCGCATTGCGAGGAAAAAGCCATCAGGATTCAAACCGCTCTGGCCGCGGACGCACTTCCTGCGGCTTTCCTGCTGCGCTTCTCCACTCCCTTCACCAGATGGTGCTGCGCCGGGGAACGGGGAATAAAGCGGCGGCGAGACGGGAGAGCTCGGCCGCTGCAGAGCAGGCCCATGGGAGGCAAATGAACCTGCCACGAGCAGCCCGCCTCGGGCTGGGCCGACGCGAGCGCTGGCAGCCCCATGTAATCCAAGGAAGGTGCTGGCGGGACTTCCACTGCCCGTCTGACACGGCTCCCTGCTACACACACTGCTGCTCGGCTCTGGGTGTCTTCACCAGGGACCACCGGGCCATCCATCACACAACCCCCTTGAACGCTTTCTGCCCCTGCCTTCAGTGTGTGTGGAAAGTTTCATGAGGCTGCAAACAGCCACAGTAGGGGCACCCATACAAGCACGAAGCAAATGGTACACGGGGCTTCACAAATTACAAGGTGTGATGGGTATGTTCAAAGTGCAAAAATGCTACTCCACAGCTTGGAGTAACCACCCACTGCGTACCATGAAACAGAGCTCAGCATGCTGACACTTCACTAGCTGAAGGTTAATTACAGAAGCCCTTCTGTTACTGAGCAGAACAACAACCTACTCACCTGGTTGAATTTCCCTTCTGGGACTTCTTTGGGTGCAGAGTAAACAGCCACCCCCTGAACCATCCCCTCTACTGCCCTGTCCCTCTGCAAGCAACCACCACAGGCCACGGACCTTCACCCCATCTTCTGAAGAGCTCTACAGCCAAACTCATTGAACTACACTTCTAAACTAAGTAATATTTACCCTGAAGAGACAGCAGCTGAACATTGCTTTTAGCACCTTTGTGTGTGTAAAGCCCTCACAGATGCAAAGCCTGCTGTTGAACTGCACAGGACCTTTGTGCTTTCCCTGCACTTTGTTCTAACCTTTATGGTGTGAGCGCTGGACTTTGCAAACAGAGGCTGTTCTGTGTAACATCGGTGGGGGGAGAGAACTGTCCTGCATGCAGCACCTCAGGACTCCCACAGTAAAATCCTCCGTGTTTGCTCTGCAGCCCTGAGTGCCTCTCTCTTCCCTGATGAAGTGGTAAATGAACACCTTCAGCCCAGCTATCTGTCTCATCAAATCAGTCAGTCCCAAGCTCTTGATTTCCTACCATACTTTTTGGTAAAGCAGAAACCAACTGTGCATAATTACAGAACAAATTAGTTTAAATCAACAAATTTCTTTGTTTAGCTGGTAAACAATAACTTCAGTAATGTAACATCTTTGCTCATTACCCAAGTCCAGGACAGTAGCTGCACTGAAGCAGTGTTCTGGTTTAGAACCAATATGGCATCTGCAGCAACACCCAACAGGAAGAAAAGCCACAGTAAGACTGAAGCATACAGACGGAAAGTACTCTTGGCCTAGTACATGGAAGCTGCCCAAAGCAGAGAGCCTGAGGTTCTCTTTCCTTCCAATACCTGTGTTAACATGATTTTCAACAATGCTGAGCACCGCTACAGGCTCAGCCTCCCCCCACCCAGGTCTAAATACCCACTGTTCAGAAAAGTACTTCCTTTCATCCAGTTTGAATTTCCCATTTTAAAAGGTGACATGCTCCTATTCTGGCATGAAGAGGAAGAAAAGATTCTGCACTTCCTTTCCTAGGCTGCGGGTTATTTGATACGTTTATATTTCTGGTTCCCTGGCTTATTTGTTAAAGATGATGCAACTGGAAGCTCTAATGCTCCTCTGCAATCAGTGGCACATTTCCATAAGCTTAATTCCACCTAAGGCTTGTTGAAGTACAGGCAGCTTTACCCCTCCATCTCCACCTGCATTACTGTCCATCTCTTGCTCCCCATCTTCCTCAAGCCCAAGTAGCAGAGGGATACTGCAGCGCTGCACAAAGAGAAGAAGGACGTAACCCTCTCCCTACTGCAACCTGGTAGCTGGACACGACCCAGCATGGAGGGGGACTGGCTCCCTGCCTGCACCAAGCTTTGGTGGACATGTGGGTGCACCTGCATTGAACTGCTGAATTCCAGTTCCTCATCAGAGCCTCAGGACAGCCCCATTGCAGCTTTGTTGCAGACTCGGTATAACTCTGGGAGAGATCTGCTCAGTGATGCAGGGAGCTGTTGCAGGGAGGAGTGGTGTTTGCAGTCATTTTAACTCCTCCCAAATACAGCAAACTTGTTATTTTGTGGCTTCACAGGCACTGATTTTGGATGACTGCAACAGTGAGAAGAAAGCCCAGCAAAGAGAACTGCGCAGCCCAAGCTCTGGCAGCAATGATGCCACTTATCCGTGTCAAAACAGCAGCTACAGTCTTGCACCCAGCAGCAGCAGCAGCTATGAGCTTTGTGAACATTTCCAACAATTTCCTCCAAACTACTAGCACTGCCCTAGCCCTAAAAGGAGCATTAACAACGAGCAGGGCTCCAGTGCCTGAGCTCAAAACCACACACCAGTATGGCAGAGATGTGCAGAGTAACACCGACACCACCACAGCCAAACATCTGGCACCAGCAAGCCAGAGGAGTCTTGTGCAGGTGTTGAAGGAGAGATCTGTGGTCACAGGTTTTGGATCTCTAAAGGGTTCTCTGTTCCCACCTCAAAGGGTCAAAAAACATGTCTGGAAAGCCTCAGCCTGCAGAACTGCAAAGCTCTGCAGATCTGTCCTCACTGAAAACACACCCCTAACATTTTCAAATGGATTTTCTGAAGAGATCTGACCTCGCAGGCTGTGGCTGCTACCAGATGGAGCTGTCCTAGAAACAGAATGAGGCAGTTTTCAAAGGGGTGGAGGACACAGTGGAATTTCCTAAAACAACGGGACTCTGGTGAAGGAACTGATGTGGTGTAATCCAGTGAACTAGACAGTGAACATTCCCCCTTAGCAGATGGCAATGCTTAGGAAAAACATCCCTGAATGAGGACATTGTTTTAAGATCCTGAGTCTTGCTATGCTTGGGACTGAAATTCAGTCGTGGCAGAGAAGTAAGCAGAACTGCAGTCACTTAAGAGAGATGAACATAGTCCTTTACCAGAGCTAAATAATCCCTGCAAATGAATATGGGTGTGACAGAGGCCATCACACATAACAGATCTGCCTTTTCTCAACTGGTGAGACACAAAAACGCTACAGGGCTTGGAAGGAGAGAGAAGAGATGCAGAAGATCCAGAGGCGAAGAGCAGCATGAAGGTCTGAGGAGAAGGACCTAGTGGTGAGAGTGAGACCACAGGGCCTTTTTAGAAAGAAAACAAATGGGGTGACCATTCCTACAGATCACATGTGAGGGACCTGCTGCCCCTGTTTTGGTGGGTCCTACTGGGTACAGAAAGCAAAATAGGATTCCTGTAAGGTACGGAAATGTTCTGAATGAGGTTTGGTCAAAGTAATCATCTATGCAGTACATTTCTCAAAGAGGTTATAAATAAACCCTTCACGGGAGGTAAGGAGCTTTAGGCACTGAGAAGGAAACCTATTAAAAGAGACTGAAGTAGCACCGTTCTCTCTCCCTTCTCACGGCAGAACTGCTGCAGTTAAAAGCTTCCTAGTTAAAACTTAATCCCATTAAAGATGCACAGGCAGCCAGGTAGGGGGTTATAAAAAGAGCAATCCCTAACATGTCTAATTGGCTCTGATGTCAAATGCACCCTATCTGCAAGGTGAGCAAACAGGTCTCCCTAACCAAATTGCCAAAGAAGGGGGCAGCTTCCACAGTCACAGGGCATGACTTGTAAGAATGTCCGGATGGAGTCAGAGGCCAATATGGTCTCAAAAGGGAGGGACAAGTGCAAGGCAGGACTGCTGCCCTGCCTGGGGCTAAGCAAGAGCTTGGATAAAGAATTGGTGTTACACAGCAGTTAGGAAAATGCAATAGTCAGGTGTTATAGGAATAGCAAACGCACTGCATTAAGGTTTGAGAATCTCTGGGTTGATGGCTGTGTTGCTCACTGAGGATCACCAACTTCCCCATGGCAACCACAGCAGCTTGTTCTGCAGAGAAACATTAGTATAAAACAACTACACAGCTTCTAACAGCCAGTGCTTTTGTCCCACGTGGAAAATACCACTGTGTGCTTTGCCTGTGCCACAGCTCCCCTGAACCTGCTGTGGTCAGCCTTCACTCAACATACTGCTCTCTGCCTTGTTCTCTACTTTCCACAGCACCTCTCTGATGGGTGATACTGGTCCACAAGGAAAGTTACCAGTTTGCCTTCTTTGCGTTAAGAACTTTGCCAAGAAAACACCAAGACTGAACTTCAGCCTTCCACCCTGGACAACAGCCATGAAGAAGAGCAATCAAAGTACAGAGAGAAGGACCAGCTCCACTTTCATTCACCACACTGAGGCCCACAGGTGAGCATGCTGACATTGCTTGTCCCCATCCTGCTAAGCATTTTGTCATCAGAGGGAACAGTCAAAACCAGGGCTGCAGAAAGGAGGACAGATAAGTGCCATGGTACTGCCACAATGTATATAGCCCCATCTATACATTAGAGCAGAACCTTCTCATCTGCTGGGCTTGGCCTGTTCTGGAGCAGGAGATAAAACGTCAGCAATGGGAGGTTAACGCCTCAGACTTAAGGAGGTGAAGGAAATCCTCCCCAAAGGTCAGGCTGAAACCAGACTCCCAACTTTTCCACCACTGAGAAATGTACACACAACTTGGGAAGTGCACAGATAAGGTCCTGAGAAAAAAGGTACTGGTAGTTCCTTGTAAGGAAGGAAGGAGCGGCAAATTTTCCTATGGGGACAAATGGGGAGCAGATACATCAGTGGTTTCTCATCAGATTCTGATGTTACAGCCTCATAAACCAGAATCCAGCTGAGGACAGAATACTTCTGTCAGGCAACACTTCAGGCAGGCTTGGGAACCCACAGGACTGTGCTGCCAGTCAGCTTCCACTGATCTGTCACAGGACAGAGGCTGGTGGTGAGAGCCCCAAGGAGTAACACTCTCTCGCTACCAAAGGGAGGTACCTGGATAGTGATGGTTCCCTTTCCATTGTCTGTCTGCAGATGGATCTCCATCTCTGGCAAGGCCTTCCCTTCTGCCATCAGCCGATGACGCAGTTTCTCCAGTGCATCGCTGCCATTGGAGATTAGCTCCCGGATAAATACCTGGGGATGAGACACATCCTGACGCTGCAGCCTGGCCTTGTCCACTGCATGGGACTCAAGAGACCTGGGAAATCATTGCCTACTCACAAACTAATTCCCAGCTTGCTAGCAAAAGAACTGCATTTCCCATTATCTGCCAGGAGAACAGTTTGTCTGAACTCAGTATCAAAGTACAGAGGCTCTGAGGCTCACAGAGTCACCGGCCACACCTACAAATTGCTTTGAAAATACATTTTCAAAGTGTCTTAAGAAAACGTCATTCAACAGCCAGGACTCGCTTGGAAACTGAGCAGGTATTGTCCCAGCTCCACTGTTTTCGAGGTACCCCTTGACAGAGACAGGGCTTTCCCAACAGAAAATCTACCAGCAACTAACAGGTGCCTCACCTCCTTTTCTGAGTACAAGGAACGGGCAACAATGTCCAGCAGTTTCTTTGTTTCAGCCTGAAATTCATGTTTAGAGGCTGCACCTAGAAAAAAAATCACAAAGAGACCTTTAAGGCATTTTGCCAGGGTCCTCTTGGGCAGGAAGGCAAAACTGCAGTCTTACGACTTACTTCAGCTTCCCAGGAACGAAAGCCTGAAGTAGCCTCCAGGAAGATGACAACAAAGATGATAACATGCTGCCTATGAGGCAGCATGCTTTACCAAGCTGACAATTTGCCTCTGAACCTCAGCTCCTGGCACACAAACCTCAAGGCAGCCAAAGCCTGTGGTACTAGCACATTGGTCACCCTGTCTGGGCTGCAGAGCAATCAGTGAATGAGAAGTGAAAGTTGATTCCACTTATTCCTATGTGTGGCTCTCCCAGTCACCTTCTCAAACGCCTCCCATGGTTTTTAGCCTTAGCACATTGGTCACCCTGTCTGGGCTGCAGAGCAATCACTGAATGAGAAGTGAAAGTTGATTCCACTTATTCCTATGTGTGGCTCTCCCAGTCACCTTCTCAAACACCTCCCATGGTTTTTAGCCTGCCTTCCATACTCTTCCTTGACTCAGTTTTCAATTGAACCACCTGTACATGCTTTGCTCCAAGAGCTTCTAGACCCAGGTGGCATTTCTCATGCCCAAACAATACTCAGAGCCTTAAGCAGAAAAAGGCAGATTCTCAAACATCTCTCTGGATCAGACAAGGGCGTGCATATGTACAGCCATGTCTGCAGGTGGGTAGCTGTGCCCAGAAAGAGAATTTTCTTCGGGAAGAAGAACACTACAAAACATCTCAGCAGAAAGACCACCTCTGGTCTTTTAAAAATGGCATTTTCTCCTGCCAGAGGCATTAGAGAACCCTGAAGCAACACGGGGAAAGCCATGGGTCTCACACCACCACTGCCATGCCTTGCTGGCAAGAATCTGTATTCCCCAGTGACAGGGGCAAAGCTAGAGTGTGAACAGCAGCAGGAGCAGTGCATCAACCCCACTGCGGGCCACCCAGCCTGACAGTCTCAAAAGTACCTGTCAGAAAAACCATGGGAGCACAGAGTTAAGATGCTATTTCTGTGCTTGAGTAACTCAAATGGCTTCGCTTTAAAACATCTCTCCCTGGAGATGTGCAAAGCAATTAATTCTAACTAAAAGGTTGACACTAAGATTCTCATCAGACCTCTATGATCCACAGCAATGAACTTGGGCAGGCACAGCCTGCTTCTGGGACAAAAAGTGTTTTTTAGGCAAATTCTAGTGCCTGTGGAGCCTCTATGCATATGTGTAGGCATCAATTGCCTGGCTAAGCCCAGAGGTGCAACTTCTTCCAGCAGTCTCGATGGCCTCGTTTCTCAGTGAAGGCCATTCCGATTCACATTCAATTTTGTGGAGGTGATGGTGCAATACAGATTCAGACTGCAGTTAGGATGCAGAGATCAATACCTGCACCTCCTCCTGAGGCAGAAACACTACCGCAGAGAGCTAACCCTCACAGTCACGACACAGAGGCACCCAGACCTTGTCCTGGTCTGTCTGCATCCCAGGAGTGCTCCCGCAAGACAGCTGTGTTTCTGCCCACCTTTCACGTTCTCCGTGTTGCTGATGATGTTGTGCAGGGGCTCTTCTTCCTTATCCTCTGCTGTCTGCGTGCTGTACGTCCGGACAGCAGAAATGCTGGTGGCAGGAATGTTGTACCAGAGGCTCCCATGATGGATTATTTGTCTTTGGAGATGTGCTGCTCCCTTTGCTAGAAGACACAATTGAAGATGTGTCAATACACACAAGTACCAGCAGCAAAGAGGAACACTCTTTAAAGGTCCCACTTAAGCAATCCCATGGGGAGTTGCAGTGCCTGATCAAGACTGAAGCTCTCTCCCAATGGAACAGGCACCATTTCCCTCTGGCATTGCACTTGCTGCGTAAGAAAGGCAAAGTGCTGCTTTAGATTGTCTAATCTGAATTAAAATTCTAGCCAGAAGATGACCATTAGCAGCTCTCAGAACAAATTAACCAGTGAGGAAGAGGCAGTCTGCAGCTTTCATTGCTGTTACCTGGCCAAGCTGAAGACAACAGGGAACACTTCAACTCTCACATTACTGCCAGTGGAAACATAAAATCTCAGTGCAAGGTAGCCTGCACCTCCAGGAGATGCCTTCTATGTTGGGAGATTAAACAAAGCCAAACCTATCCACCGGAAGACTGTTTGCAGCACTACAGAGCTCTGTCCAAAGCCAGGTTCTTGGTGTGATTTCTGCATTGTAGTGAGAATGGCCTGTGCCAGAGAAAGAGCTTGGAGGGTGTGGATCTGAACACGCAGCTGCACTGAGGTGGGAAGCGATTTGCCTTCCCCAGCCCTACAATGAACATAAAGCAACCAGGATGGTCTTGTCTGAGCAGGGAGAACCTGGATAAGCAGCAAGTGTCTGGAAGGAGTGAGAAGTCCATGATTTTCTTACACCTCACTCTGTGGTTGCAAGCTGTTCCATAAAGCAAGGAAAGGAGGCAAACCCTACACAGCAGGCCTGCAAGAGGTACATTTTGAAGATGTCCTTCCTTTAGATGAATGGGTATAAACTCACCCAAAGACTGAACTGAGAACCATTAGTATGGCGAGAGTCCCCCCGCGCTATGATCTCCCTGGAAACAGCTTCTGTGTCTGTCCCCGGGCCTCCAAGTCCAGCTGACATACCAGGAGAGCTCAGCTCCCTCCTGAGCCTTCCTCCACCTTGTCACAGCCCTGCAGTGAACTCTGCATCCCAGCCCTTTCACCAACACCGTTCTTCATCCTCTGGCTCATCCTGGGAGGTCTCAGGCTCCCTTCACAAGTGCTCTGCAAACCTCCTGCCCACCTCAGCAGGTTCTGCAGCTAGTACAGTCATTGAGAACAGGTCTTGGTGCTCCAAATCATCAGGCTGGGCTCTTCCTCCAGCTCAGATGAACACAAACCCCTGAGCTTTAACAGTACTTTTGGCTCCTACACCTCATCCTGAAGAGCTGATCGAGGTTGTCAGTCCTCATTCTTCCTCCTCCTCACAGAAAGCTTTGATTCAAGATCCACTTTTCCAGCCAGAAGCTTGAATTACTCCCCAGTCATTCTGCCCTTAAAGAAAAGATCCCACAAATAGTTCCTAATGCATCTGAACACCTCCTACACACGTAACTGTTCGCTCCCTGCGTCACAAACAGTTCTGCTGCATTATCACAGGACAAATTCTTTATCTTTCACTCGACTGCCTTTGTTAGGCTCATCTGAGAAAGCAATAAGGAAAACAGTCTGGGAGACTGGAGTGGAGAGCAGCAGAGAGCTCACCGTGTGGCTGTCCAGCCCCGGAGAGGGCTGAGTCAGCCTGAGTCAGCCCAGGGATCACGCATTTATGTACGTATTTACACAGGGTTTACATATTTATGCTCATTTTATGCTCAGTGTAGGTTACTCTGAAAAATCTGCACATATACATACGCACACACACATTTTCCATCCAGCAGAAACAGAAGAGGGAATTTTGCTCCCTCCCTGACTCCAGGATCCAAGAGAAACAGGCTGGGAGCAGCTCCGTGCTAACCTTAACTACCATCAGATCTCCAGGCAGACAGGCTCTTGAGCCAACACACAGGTCGCCCCTGTAGCCCATAACCACTGCCTAACTCTAGAAACCACAGGTATTTATAATTTTTGATATACTCATGGTTTTTTGTCCCCCGACCTTTAAAGCACAGTAATAAAGCACCAACCATCAGTTCAGAAGTTACTTGTGGATTTGTGTGATGTTTGGTCTTGTAAGCCTTAACTGACAGACCATCCTGTGCCAGGTAGACAAGGCTCATTAAATGCAAGCTGCAGCACCTTCAGACTGTTTGCCTCCCGCAGAGCCCCTGCCTGGCCAGCAGGGAAAGGCTCCAGGCAGTTTTGGATATAAACCCATAGTTATCAGCACACAGAAGTTTCATCTGCTCAGTGAACAGGAAAAGTGACACATAGAAGGAGCCCAAGAAACAAATGCCTAAAACCAAGAGACAAAGAAGGAATAGCTCTGGCTCCGGGTGAGTGCTGCGATGTGCTGAGGCAAATCAGATCTTTTTGTATCCAGTTAATCAACTGCTAAGCTTTATCACATACCTTCCCATTTGCATCACTGCCCCACCTGCACCATAGAAGATGGCAGATACCCACATTACTCTCCAACTTCCAGTTCTCAGTGGATCCCAAGTGATCCTGTGTGTATGACCACAGGGCAGTTCCCCCTTGCACGTGGGGACCACGCCATAGAAAAGGGAAGGACCCTCGGGCTCGAGGGCTCCTTTCAATGCCAAGATGCCTCAGTGATTCCTGATCCCCTCAGGAAACACAGCGCTTCCGGGAAAAGGACTGCTGTGCGCCAAGTCAAATGCTAGTTAGAAATTTAGGGTGGGGAATTGAGCACAAAGGATAACCAGCTCAAGACAAAGAGGAGAATTTGGGTCAGCAGAAATTACCATAACATGGTTGCTGTGCAGTCGCAAGCCTGAGGATGCTCTTGCAAAGAAGAGCACGAGGAATAGGATGCTTCCAGGCCAGATCTCATCAGAAGAGGCTTCTGAGCTGGGCATCAGATTCTTCATGAATCTGGGGAGAAGAGAGTCCCTGACTGATGCACTCAACCCAAAATACCTCTCAAAAACTGCACCAGTTTCAGCCTTCAGCAAGTGAGAGAGAGCTAAGACAAAATTATGCCAACTTTGTGTGGCCGGAGGGAAGGACCAGCTGCCCCTGCAGCCAGGGATCTCTGCCTGCACCCAGGTGGAAGGACACCACTTCCTGTGCCTCCCTCTTTATTTCCACCCCACACAGCTTCTGCTCACTATTTTTTCCGTGAAGGACCCAAATGCCAGGTTGAGAAATAAACCTCTGGCTGTGTTGGAGTCTGTCTATCCCAACAGAGGAATGTGGCTTCTCTCTCAGACACAGGCACTAATAAACCACTGGGGATTTCTGTGGTGGAAGAACTGAATTGTGAAAACACTGAAGCAGCACTCAGTGGCACAATAAATCTAACAGTCTGACCCTGATAGCGACCATCCTTTTCACACAATTTCCTCTGTCACATTTTTCTCTTTATAACCCACAGGGAAACCACAGACCACACTGACAACCTACAAACCCATCCATCAGGAGCCCAGCGACAGATAAGCCTGGCAGATACTGAGCAGAAGACACACAGGAACTGTCAGCACACCCCGGCTGATGACAGCTCACAAGTGCACTTCCTGACCGGCACACTGTGCCCTAGATGGGACAGGGCACCCCATCATCAGGACCTCAGAGTTCCCACCTTCTCAGCCCTCAATCCTGCCAGCTGTCTTGGGTGGAATACTGAGCACACCCCTGGGGAACACAAACCCTCAGGCTCATGTGTATGGTTCTCTGGAACTGGAACAGCCAGAAAACAGCAACCCTGCTGCCTTCTCTGCTGCCTTCCATGCTGCATATGCTATACACCCTACATTAGCCAGGACATGAACCCGATCACGCTATACATGCTGTATGAGCCAAGAGATGAAGTATGTCCATGAAGCATGTCCAGTGCTACACGACCTGGATGCTACACTCCTATACAGGCCAGGATGTGAACCCACACATGAGCCAACAGATGAATCTGGTCATGCTGTATGACCTGAACACACCATAGGCCAGCAATTGTACATAGCATATCATGTGTCTAGGAGATAAACTCGGACACACTGTACACCGTGTATGAGCCAGGACATGAACCTGGATGTGCCATACGGCCTGCACATGCTCCACACACTGTATGAAGCAACATGGGAACATGCACACGTTCTTCACCTTACATGAACCTGGACAGGCTGCACACCCTATGGGAGCCAGTAGGTGACCCCAAGCACGGCGTGTGCCCTACGCGAGTCCGCGCGAAGCCTCCTCCCCCCGCGAGGGCTGGGCCTTCACGGTTGCCGGTGGCCGAGAACACGGGAGGCCTGTGGAGCCGCTGCCCCGGGGTCCCCCGGGACGGAGGCAGCGCTGCTTGTGCACACACGGGCCCGGGCCCGGGTCCGGGTCCGCTCCCACAAGACGCGACCGGCGCATACGGCAGCGAGGGCAGCCCCGGGGAGGCGAAGGGTCTCTCACACCGCCCACCCCCTGCCCTCCCGCCGGCCTCGGTGGCGGCGGGTGACGCGCGGCGGGGCGGTCCCTGCTCACCTGCGGCCGCCCGCGGCCCGGCCCCGGCCCTGGCCCTCAGCAGCGCCGCCAGGCACCGCCCCCACCGCGCCGTCGCCGCCGCCGCCATGCCGCGCGCTCCCGCCTCACGCCGCTCTGCTGCCGGCGCCCGTCGATGGCGTCACGGGTGCGCGCGGGCCTCCTTCGCGTCATGCGCACGCACCCGCACCACCCGGCGCTGCGTAGCGCGGCCTAACCTGAGCCGTGTCCCTGCGCTCACTGGGCCGGTCCCGGGGCCGCGCCGGCTGCCGCCGCTCGGTGCCCGCTCACCAGCTGCGGGGTGAGGAGCTCCCTCGGGAAAGCCACCTCTCGCTCCGCCGTCAGCGCAGCAGCCGCTGTCCGTGCCGGGCCCCGCTCTGCGGCACCTTGTGACAGAGGTGCCAGGCCCGGAACGACACTTACAAACCCGCCCGGTTAAAACCTTTCCGTGTTCCCCCCCAGCCCCGCGAGGACTTGCAGCGGGAGCCCGGCACAGTTACTACAAACCCATCCGTTCCTCTCCGCACCCGTGAGGGTGTTTCTCGGTTCGTGGCCCAGGCGCTGCCGCAGGGACCCCGTTTCATGTGGCAGGAGCTCGGCTGACAGCCGTGTCTCTCCAGCCTCCCCGTGAAACCGGGAAAAGCTGCGCGGGGCCGGGAGCTGCCTGAGGAAGCCCCCCCCGAGCCATCCGGCGAATTGCTTAACATCTGGTTTTCTCTGAAATCCTCATTTCCTGGGGCTGCTTTGAGTGTACATTGAGAGCTGAAGGGCAGAGGTACTGGAGAAGGGTTCTGGAGGGGGTAGGGTTGAGAGAGGAAATGCACTGCTCTGCCGAAAGCCAGATTTGGAACGTGCCTGAGAGCAGAGCGTGGCCTCAACGAACACACAGCTAAAAATAACAAGCCTGAGCAAGTCTCGTTTCGGTGAGCGCTAACCACTTCCAGGCAGAGCTGAGGGCCTTCAGGAGGGAACTGTGACCACCTAACAGAGGCAGCTTTGTAACCCTGGCTTGAGGGAGCTGGCTGGAAAAGCTACACACACACACACACACACACACACACACACACGGCACTCGTGCGCGCAGCTTATCTTTGGGACTGGACCAGTGCGTTGCTGGTTTGGAGATTTGTGTGTAGGAAACACTTGCACGCAGTGGGGTTCCTCAGTGCTGGTGGATGTTACAGATCAGGCACAACAAACCCAGCGTGAGTCCTTTCATCACTCTGGCACTCTCCTGCTGGGCTGTGTTTCCAGCTGGAACCAACCCCAGCCCCTCCGAGAGGTTCCCTGTGCTGCCGCCAAAACCAAAATAACTTCCGAGCCCATTTCAAACACTTCCCTCCTACCACTGCTTTAATTGCTACCTCCAGCTGACCCCCAGCACTCCTGAGCATTGCTCTGCCACACCACAGAGCTCTTGTACCTGCTGTGGAACACTAGAAGCCTCCTCTTCTCTTGCCATGGGTCTGACCATTAAGCCATGAAGTGTGGTGCTGAAGGGAAGGCTTGGGGATTGCCTGGGGTCCGGTACAAGTCCCCCCTCTGCCCAGGCTCACTTCAGTCATCTGGTGGTTGGCACTGACTGGCACCAGTTGCTGCCCTGGCAGTCCACTGGAGAGATGACCCTGCTCCCCATTTTAATGGTGATGCAGGAAGGACACACTGCTCCCATACAGCAGCTTATCTGCTCTGCAGTGCTCCCCCAGCTCCCAGCTCCATGGTGGCTGCCTGATCTTCACTGCCCTGAGAAAACTGTGGGCTGTTATTTACTGTGGAAGAAGCACCTGCTGCACAGCAGGGTCACCTTGTAGGCCATTAACTTCACTTACTGCCATACACTGCCACTGACTTGAAGGAACATTACGTGCTAAGGTTGCAGAGACTGCTTCTGGCTCCCGAGACAGTGACTGATGGGGAGTTTGGCACTGGCTGCACCCCAGGAGGAGGGCTCCTCTTCCTCAGCCTACCACTGCAGCCAGGGCTCACCCCTTCACTGTAACGCATCCAGGTGGGAGGCCGGAGCAGAGAGCGCTTACACCAGTGCAGCAGGCAGATCTCTGGCTTGATGGACAGCAATAAGCAACCACGGTGGTGAGCCATAGTGGTGTATCTACAGCAACAAACATGTTCCCAGCCCGATGTGGTGGCAGTGCTGGTGGACATCTGACTAGAAGAGAACCACATTGTTGCAGCTCACCATTCAGATTTAACCTTGTTCCCCTGCAGAATTCAGAAAGGGGGAAGGTCTTGGTCATCCCCTTGGATGACAAAGATCCTGCACCACTCTCCACTGTGGTGGTGTGATTCTAGGATTCTGCTCCTTTATCACCAGTACCTCTCCGATCAAAACACAGATCAGATGTCCATCCAGTCTTCAGATATGCTGAATTTATCAATGCCCAAAGGAGACTGTAGTGAAGCCCCCAGTTCTGTTGTGGTTGCACACCAAACCCATCTCCTCCTCCTGTTTGCATTTCCCTTTGCTCCCCGGTAAAATACCTGCTCTTACCCAAAACAACTGCTCCAGGAAGCTGGGATTGGCAGATCTAAATCCATCCCTTGCTCTGTGCTCACCGTACTTCAGGCGGTACTTAAAAAGTATCCTGGCATTTGCTTTCCATCAGGAACAGGAATGCATGAGAGCCACACCTCCTCCTTGTGCTCCAGCCAGGGCTGGGTTTATCCAAATCCAGACACAGTGCTGATGCTTTTAGAATGGATACTACAAAAGGTATTAGTGAGATTGAGTGCTGTTAGCTTAACCTTGGCTGTCAGGCATCACTGATCCAAGTGGGCACCAGCCAAGTGGAACCATCCTTCAATCCAAGCAGTTTTACCAGCTTTTATTAGAAACACCAGCACATTTCAAGTTTCCTCTTTTTGATCACAAATATAGTATTTTTCCTCTTTTTTAAGTACACAGCATGAGACACAGCATTAGGGCTTTCCATCCTTTTTTGTTCTTTTTACAGCACTTTCTTTAGGACAAGCTTTGGGTTAGTGTTCACTGACCTCACCCCAGCCCCAGATTTTGACATCTTGAATTGCTGAAGACAATGGTATGGACAGATGAATCCAATGGTGGTGAAAAAGATACAACAGTGAAGAATTTGCCAGGAAAGTTTAAGCGGAGACCCTCTACAGTTAAAAAGAATGAAGCAGTGCCACAGCACACTGCTCTTTGCACAGGATGGGGATAAGAGTTGAGAGAAATCCTTCTGCTGTTCTCCCCCAATCCTGCCCCAACATTGTGCCAATAAAAATGGTAAGCTGGAGGAAGCCAGGAGTGCCTGGTGCTCCTGCTGGAGCGGGATACCTTCCCAGGTCTGCTGCAGATCCTGTGCCAGGCATATGTAACCTTACGGGCTGAGGGGTGGTGGTTGTGACCAGCCATGGTTTTAGCTCACACCTACAACTGGGAAAGTTTCCCAGGAGCTTTTAGCTCTGAGAAAGCAATTCCCTGAGGGGGAGGAGGAACAAGTAGCCCAGGGACAGGAGGGCATGGTGACAGGATATTAAAGGGAACATGTACATGATTTGTTATTTTTTATTCCACAGAAAACCCTCAAATCTAGACTCAGAGTTAACAGCAGAAAAATAGTGTTAAAGTCAATAGGTTCATATTTTACTGTAGACTAAATAAATTAGCCTAGAATTAACTCAATACTCTCTATTTTCCTTTCATTGGTGATCCTTCTCTAAATTAATGCATTTTTTAAAAAGCAACGGCTATCAATAATTTATTCCAGTTAACCCTTATGGATGAACACCTGCAAGTAGTCAATGGATGGGAACCATTCCCCTCTCCTCTCCCTCCCCGAAAAGGAAACAATCACTAAAGGGTGTTGTAAAACAGACATGCTACCTACAATACTCCATGGATCGTGCCACTCCTACCGCTGCCTCTGGCTGCTCTGTGTAATGAGTGAATATTCATAGCTATGTCTTACAAAGAACATGATCCAAAAAATATATAAATAAATAAAAACCTTAAACATTCTTACATGAATTTTAAAGAACAGAATACATGTTAAAAACTTCAGTAATTTATATCAATTTTAAGCAATACTTTATATACAATGGAAAAAAGACATGCATAGTCCAAATACAATGTTGAAAACAGCATTTTCATAACAAAAAACCCAAACACTAAGTGTTAATACCATGTACATGAACTCAAGAAGGACCACCCTTTTTGTCTGTTGCACACAGTTTATTTAACAATATGATATTATAAGTAAGAAATGAGTTTTTTTGTTGTGTTTTTTTCTTTTTTTTTACCATTCTATACAGTGATTGAATCTTCTTGGATTTTCTTTTTTATAGTAATTATAGCGCTTGCATGATTTACACTAGAATTGCTTTTCCTCATTTCAAGTTTCACACAGAAGAAAGAAAGAAAAGAATGCTTCTTCTCTATTCAAATCAGCATGGTCTAAGAGTGATCATCCCTATTTTCATCTAAAACCAGTTTTATCAGAGAAACAAAGCAACAATTTCTACATCTGCAAGACACGGATTTTGGCATTGGCCAATGTGTGGTTTTGTGTGCAAGAGTCCATTCCTATCTTCCCAGGGGTAATACTTCAAATGCCTGCAGAGTTCGCTATAGAAAAACAAAAATCTTCCCACAACGTGTCAAAGTTACCGGGATACATTATAATGTTGCATTATTTCAGGAAACAGTTTCTGAATATTATTTTTTTCTTCTTTTAAACGCAAATGTTTAAAGTCTTGAAAATACAAATAAAAAATATGAATATAATGAACTTGTTTTCCCCATTAAAAAAAAGGTATGAGTCAACAGCAACAAAAAAATAAAAACCAAAAAAACCCACAAAAGAGACCAGATATTTTAACCGCCTGGCTTTAACAAAAAAATATATTCTTTGTATTGTTTTTTTCTCTTTTTTTTTTTAAACAGCAATTCATTCTTCCATGTGTAGGAAGCAGCAGTTCCATCCAGGATTCAAAACAACCCAGATGTCTGAATTTTCAGTACAAAACGTCCAAGAACACGAAAGGAAAAACAAAAAACGAAACAAAAAAGTGATGCTCCCATAATGCTACAAACCCTCCACAAATTTTTCTAGTGTGTCCCCGGTGGTGTCACCGACCAGAGACAATTCGTTAGACAACGCACTCCTGTTCGGGGTGTTTAGTTGTGGAAGCATTGCACTCTGTTCTGGGTTGCCCAAGTGTCCCTGATCCATGGAGCTAGCCATAGTAACTGAGAGTCCTGGGTGGGGGGAACCAGTCTGGGGAGAGACGTGGTGAGGTGACGGTTGGGGCTGTATCCTGGGTGACGGGCTGGAATGTGGTGGCTGGGACTGGG